TACTGTTCCAAATGAGCAGCAGTCGTCTGCGCACTTTTAGTTTGATATTATTTAGAACAGTTTCTACAGCATTTAGCGCTAAATTTTTTCATTCAAAATGCTGTCTGACACTATCCTTAATTTTGTACGACATCTAGCACAAAATTTTGTACGAAATTAAGCACAAAATATTGTAGCCTTAAGACATGTGTGTCATTCTATAGCTATTCAACTTTTAGCGCCCAGGCGGAATATTACACAGTTTTGTTTACTAACAAAAGAGTAATGTATGCTTGCAATCAAAATTCTTCTAACCTAAAATTTAGTATTGGACCTATCAGCGGTCTATTTGGCATGTTTGCCAGTTATCTAGACAGCCTTCCCTTAACCGTTTCGTCTCTCTCTATGAACAATCGGCATTCAGCTTTTTTCGCCATGCCCAGCCTGCTTGTGCGGTAACGCAATCTGCAATTAGTAGAGTACGATATGATGTAAAAACATGAAAACCTCGGAACCCGGCAGGGTGGTTACGTAAAAAATCTATATAATGTAAAAAAATCGGTAAAATGTCAAATTGTGCGCTAGGTAGCCGCTAGTGTGCCGGTAGTTTATCCCACGCCTACCAAATGACCATGAAGTGAATGTCAGCTAGTTCAAACGTGACATTGTTTAGAAAAACCTACATAATGTCATAAAAAATCGATATAATAACTTAATTTGTGTAATAGGAGTGCACTGAATGGAATGCGTTTAAAATACTAAAAACAAAACAAACAGTTCACTTATTAATTTTGTGTGCTACTTGATATTCAATTATAGTTTTCCATTTTTCTTAATATTTCATTTTCTATGCATACGATTATTCAAATTAATTGTAATATACCAGGTAGTTAAACTGAGCAAAAGCGTTGATTAATTTTACGGCTGCCGTACTGAGATCGGGGTATCAAGTTCATTTCGTCTAATAGTGACATTTTAATTTCTCTTAAATTACTTGATTGATTTAGAATCGAGGCTAGGCATTAAAGAATTTGACCGGTATTGGTTATACCCGACTCAATTATTCCAAGGGCGGTGCTATTAAGTTTTAACAGGATATTTGTCAGTGAGGTCAAGAAGCTTTCACACTTGTAATCCTTCCTTTCCGCAAAAAGTCCAGAAAAGATGGAATGCAATGAAGATTCCAACTTTTCTGCACAATCACAGAAAAGGGGTTACTAGCTGTGTGTCGACCATGGCATGGCTAGAGGATAGAAGAACAAACAGAACATAAAAATTTAACAGATTTTATTAAACTAGAAAAGCATTTTCATTACATTTGAGAATTAAGATTCTATTAGCAATCTATTTGACTTCATACAGACCGAAATCTGCGATTTCTATTTTTCTTTGAATCCCAATGGATAAAAGCTAGAAACATTTTACACCTTCCAGTTTATATCTGTGACTTTTACATTTGGTTGATTATGAAATTGCGTATCAAAAAGCAAGCGTGTTCATCTCAAAGATCCTTGCGTATTCCCTTGAAGAAACCAGTAGTGTGCATAGCTGAAATTAGGGGTAATTCAGTTGGATATAACTAGTACCAATTAGGTCATTCGAGATTATAAGGAAATGTGAACTTGAACACTGTATGTCAGTGAGGCAATTTTAAAGCACGCATAAGTTTATATGAACTTTTTGTTGAATTTACTGGTATATTATTAACCTAAATAATCGTATTCATAAAAAAAGATGCTTTAAAAAAATCAAAACAATTGAAAAACAAAATAGGCAAAATTAACAGGCTACCTTATACCATATTTCAATGAAAACCTCAAAAATCCATTCAGTAGAATTGGGTTTCGAGATTAAAACGTAAGAGCACGTCACTAAATGACCTGTCCCACTAAAGCTTTTTATCTAGCCGCAGCAGTGAGTCTATTACCTTCTTTGTTTAAATTCATATGGTTACTTTTATGCCCATCAAACGGAAAGTAAAACTTATCGAGTCTACGAATTTATTGCAAAGATTATCTAGGTATATGTTTGTTAAGGTAAGGACAAAAAACGATCAGCTTTCTGGCATATCGATAAAGTGGTTTTTGCAATATCGTCTGCTCTTACAAAAGAAGTAAGTACTCGTAAGCCTCAATTGGCAATACGTTGTAAGGAGCTACTTTAATCTGTTCTTAGCGAGTTTGATAGGGGGCGCATAATGGGCCGGTTGGTCATTTAGAGAAATAGCCACCAGGGAGCTCCGAAGTCTAAATATGGTGGTGCGTTATTGTCGGGCATGGAATCAGGACGGCCGTATACGAAGACACAAGATAATGCAAGACCACAGTTAGTCAGAATTACGATTTGTCGCCTTGCCCCCTAGATCTAGGGATATTTCACCCATTGAACATGTCTGGGACATTATAGGAAGAATCCATTCTCCAGAGACTCCAGCGGCGCTTCGGCACGAGAGAATCTTGGGGTGGGATACGAGTACATCAAGAGAATGTCGATAATCTGATTAAGAGTATGCCCAGACATGTTTTTGGCTGCCCAACAAATTATTACTTTTTTGACATGTTTTTCCACGTTTCGATTTTTCTGAAATTTTGATCCAAACTAACCTTACCCTGAGAGACATGTATACAAATTGTTGTAACAAATTCATTATTACTGGGTGTTCTTTTTTCTATGGCACTTACCAAATAGCACTGACGTCGTACTGTGTACGAGATAGAGAGAAGTGTGCAATATGTATAATAGAAAGAGTGCGCGATGACTTCCGGGACCTCGTATTCGGGTTGCTAGGCAACGAGGTGCTCCTACCTGTTTCTAACATATACTAAGTGACATATAAATCCGAACACCCAGTTTAAATGGTTTTATTTTAATAAAAGTTGGTGAATGTATTTATCTCACTGTAAATAACAAGTGAAATATTTTCGGCCTTATCAGTTGGACATTCAGGTTTTTATACTGCTTTTTTTTTAATTCACTAACGCTCTAAAAATGAATATTTCAGCCGCAGTAAAGGATCAACGTTGGCGGATTTTAGTTCTTAACATCCTTTACGATCGGTTACGATGCCTAGAGTCCGGAGACCTGTACGATTTCGTCAACTTAGTGAGTTTGATAGGGGCCGTATAGTGGGACTTTGGGAAGCTGGACTTTCTTTCCGGGCAATTGCAGTTAGAGTGCAAAGAAGTGTAGACACTGTGGTTAGGTGTTGTCAGGCATGGCTTCGAGAAGGCCGTACGCAAAGAGCAAGGGGCACTGGACGCCGCCGTAGAACAACAGACCGTGAAGATCGCCGCCTAAGATTATTGGCCTTAAGGGACCGTTTCTCCACTACCATATCCATTGCAAATGAATGGTTTGCAGAAAACGGAAGAACTATCGGCATGCGAAGTGTTTACCGACGAATGAGAAGTTTTGGCTTGTTTTAATACCGGCCACACTGGGTCCGCCCTTTAACTCGAGAACACCGACGTAATGGACTTGAGTGGTGCAGACAATGGTCACTCTGGGATCAGGAATGGAACAGTATTGTCTTTAGTGACGAGTCTCGATTTTGTTTAGGCATGCACGATGGTCGTGCCAGCGTTAGAAGGCGACGTGGTGACAGGAGGAATCCACAGTTTTTTGTTGAAAGACATGTTCATCACACTGTTGGAGTTATGGTTTGGGGTGACATGAACGCGCAGCGTTATATCCACGAAGTCCTAGAACCCCATCTTTTACCCTATCTTGACACCCTGGCAGATCCAACTTTCCAACAAGATAATGCCCGACCACATGTTGCAAGAGTCGCAATAGACTTCTTTCAACATAATGATGTCACATTGTTACCATGGCCACCAAGATCTCCCGACTTATCCCCAATTGAGCACGTGTGGGGTATGATGGGTAGGAGATTGCTCAATTTGCAAAATCCTCCTCAGAATCTAGAAGTACTTCGAGAGGAGTTGGTGGTTCCCTGGAATGAGATACCACAGGAGGACATTGACCGCCTGATCAGAAGCATGCGTAGGCGCGTTGGAGGGAGCGTAGCACATCAGGGTGCATCCACACATTATTAAAGGTCAAAGGGCTTTAAAGCAGTGCAATCATTTTGAAATTTGTATCATTTACTTATTATGCTTCATTAAGTACTTATACAAAATTTTATTAAAATAAAACCATTTAAACTGGGTATTCGGATTTATACAGGGTGACTTCGAAGTTGAGTCATTTATTTTAACAGTGAGTAGATCTGATCAAAAGAAACGCTTTTTCCCTTTAACATTTTTCTGGTAAAATTAAAGTAACAAAGTTATAGCCCTTTAGAAGTTTGAGTACCGCCCTGTCTCAATAATAATATTATGTGCTCGTGTTTGGCAACAACGGACATAATCCGCCTTATCCGTTCATCGCATCGGAAACAAAAAAGCGAAAGAATTTGAAACGATGTTTTTACTACAATGTACAATTTTATACAGTTGTTTTCCGTCAATGTGTCAGTCGGTAACGCGTGAGTGTATAGTGGTGTTTGTTGCGTGGCTTAAACGAAATAAAAAATGCACATGTTTACGAAAATGCTGAACTTGTGGACATGATGCTTATTTACGGGGGGGGGAGTCTTTATGCGGATCGGTTTCCCAATCGAGTGCAACCAACCCCTCGTGCCTTTGTTAATGTAGTACAAAGGGCTCGTGAATCAGGTGACTTAAGACCTCACAGGGGAGGGCATGCCGGTGCTCCAAGACCGCACGATCAAATACAGGTCCGCACTGAAATACTTGTCGGGCATTATACTTTATAAAACAAGGTAACATTTTTTTTAATTTTTATTTTTATTTTTACACACATATTTTGGTTTATCTTCCTTCTACAATCATTATCTGAAAATTAATGACTCAACTTCAAAGTCACTTAATATACATATCGCACGCTTATTGTGCTTTCTGGTACAGCTTACTACGTCATCCAAGTTTGAATCTAACGGTATAGCTGAAAAACTTTGATAATCCTAAATAAGTACTATTTGTTCGCTCTATTTTCAGGAATCAAAGAATTGCTAGTAACATCGGACAATCCTCCCCGAGGTACATTCGGAACCATTCCAGAGCTATTTTTCATGACCGGAAACTTTAATCAGAACGTCAAACCTCAACTAGACACGCTGAAGTCACTCCAACCAGGCAAACCAGTGATGGTTATGGAGTACTGGGCAGGATGGTACGATGCTTGGGGTAGCAGACACAGTAACTTCCCGCTTGAAACGTTCAAAGAAAACTACGAAATTATACTGTCCTATCCGGCTTCAGTGAACATCTACATGTTCCATGGTGGGACTAACTTTGGGTTTCTGAATGGAGCGTCGAATAATATATTGTATGACGATAGATATTGTGAGTCATGATTTACTTTTGACGTCTACTTATTGCCTAGCCATGTCGTGCTCAAAATACCGATTGCATGGAAATATATGAAAATTAGTATTTTTATAGATTTTGACGTCTTCGAATTTAGGATAAGTTCAGATGACGTATCTCAATACGCGCGTCGACGCGTCTGTTCAGATAGCGTTCGTGTTACGTTGCGTTCAGTCGTAGTCGGTCGTAGGTGGTAGATGGTCTTTGACTGTCCAACGCGGAGGTACCACCCGGCGGATCTCTTAAGTGGGACAAGAATATGTGCATGTTGCGTGTACAAAGTGTTCCCTGACTAAAGCCCGTTTGGCGTTCCCCCTTTCCCCTGTACCCCCTATAGCCCCACGGTACCCATGGGTGTATTTAGGCTTTCGTGGTTGTTCAAGTATAAAAAAAGTCGACATACCTGGTGCATATTTAAAAAAATCGCCTCTACCGTATGGTCTTGAAATGGAAAGAATTTAAAACACATCTTTTTATTAATAGAATTCAAAAGTGAACTGCGATTTGGGACATGAATTCCAAGTTATATTCAAATAATACAGCAAAAATAATCTTGTCTAACCTGTTCAATGGCAAGTAGACCACTTCTACATTCAGCCAAAATCGTCAGCCATTTAGCGGCACGGCTGAATTTTTTTCATCAGTTTTTATACACTCTAATCCACAAAGGAACTTATCTTCAACAATTAAATCCAATAGTACAATTTCTCTCAATTATATAAGTGAAGATGATGTTATTGAAAAGATTAAAGAACAAAATGACATGTGGATGTGATGGTATCCCAAGTTTTCTTGTCAGAGATTGTATTCACATACTGGCTAAACCGTTGGCTTCAGTATTTGACCTAATTCTTAAATTAGGGACATACCCAGACATCTAGAGGACCACTAAAATATGTCCCATTCATAAGAGTGGTGACATTGCAGAGGTTTCCAAGTACCGACAAAAAGCAATTCTATGCAACTTCGGTAAGTTGTTTGAGATCATAGTTTATAATACGGTTTACTGGTCGGTCAAGGGTGCATTTTCTGTCAATCATCATGTATTCATGAGCGACAGATCTACGGTTACCAACTTGACCCTGATTACTCAGTATATCTCCCAAGTATTATACACTCGGGGGCAAGTTTATGTAATCTATAGAGATATTCAGGAGGTATTTGATCAAGTTGATCATTATGTACTTCTGGATAAGCTTAGGACCGTAGGTCTATCTGAGAGACTGTTGTCGCTCCTGAGTTCATACTTGATGGACAGAGGGTTGTTTGTTGAATATGGTGGTTATATAGTAGGTCGAGTTATTATCAGGCAACATCTGGGGTGCCTCAAGGATCGAATCTAGGCCCATTATTGTTCCTGATCTTTATTAACGATTTGTCTCTTGAGCTCAAGTGTTTGCATCTGTTTTTTGCTGACCACGTTAAGATGTACGCATCGGTCGAACACATTGATGATTGTCTCATGCTGCAGGATAATTCAGACTTATCTTCTTCATGGTGCTCGCAAAACTGTCTTAGTTTAAATGCTTCTAAATGTAAAGTTGTGTCTTATACAAGAAAAACTAATTATTTAATATTATGATTATAACGTCAACGGTCAGGTTCAAGACAGATGCTACTCCTTTAAGGACCTTGAAGTAAACTTTGATAGCAGGCTTATGCTTAGCGAACATATGCTTAATATCTCATCGACTGCCACCAGACTACTTGGTTTCTGTATCAGAAACTGGAAGGGGTTCTCCAATGTCAGTACTTTAATGACTTTGTTCGTTACTTTTGTCAGAAGCAAGTTAGAATATGCAACCCTGGTCTGGTCTCCAATATACCTAAATTCAGTTTCAATGATTGAAGGCATTCAACGTAAAGCTATTAAGTATTTTTACCTGATATGTACTGGTTCTTATTCAGAAAGAGGTTTTTGTCATCATACCCTTTTGAATTTTTTCGAGTTAGATTTAGTATCAATTAGACGTAATATGTTTGACTTATCGTTTTTATATGGTCTTATGCACAGTCAAATTGACTGTCGGGGACTTACTTGAAAAAACATATTTCCGCATTCCAAGGCTTGAAAGTCGTCAACAATCAGCCTTTTATTGTCAAGCAGGCCGGACGAACGTAATGTTCAAATCTCTAATTTATGTAATGTGCAGTCTGATGATCTCTATTTGTGAGCTGCGCGATATTTATAATGACAGCTGTAAATCAATCATACATTGCTATATCTAAGTCATCGATTGTTCTCTGAGCTTACTTAGGCCAATTGATGCTAAGTTTAAGTTTTCAATGTGTCTCTTTATTTTCTTTTTGTTAATGTATTTGAGCTTTTCCTGTAATTGGATTTTACCTGTAGGCAATCTGAAATATAAATAAATAAATGAATAAATGAATTAAACGTGAACTGAGATCCATGACAGTTTCGACTAATAGCAGCTGTGCGCGATCCACAAATAATGGGTGATTTTTTTGCTAGTATCTTTTTAGCAACACTGTTTTTGACAGATGACGCGTGAATCGTGTCTTGTGTCATTGACAAACTTGTTCAGTTTGGTCTATAATTTAACCATGAATCGACTTACGAACGAACAACGCTTGCAAATTATTGAATTTTACTATCAAAATTCATGCTCGGTTAAGAGAGTGCATCGAGCACTGCTTCCAATTTATGGACAATTTGGTGGGCCTACTGAGGGAGCTATTCAGAAGCTTGTGACTAAATTTCGAACCCAGTTTACATTATTGGACATTAAACCACCAACACGCAGACGTAGAGTGAGGACTGAAGAAAATATTGCGGCTGTATACGCCAGTGTTAGTGATGACCGTGAAATGTCGATTCGCCGCCGTTCGCAGCAATTGGGCCTCTGTTATTCCACTACGTGGAAAATTTTGCGACAGGATTTGGGTGTAAAACCTTATAAGATACAGCTGATGCAAGAATTGAAGCCACACGACCTCCCAGAGCGTTTCCAATTTGGTGAATGGGCGCTGGCAAAGTTGGAGGAAGATCCACATTTTTATCGAAAAAAATGTGTTCAGCGACGAAGCTCATTTCTGGTTGAATGGGTACGTTAACAAGCAAAATTGTCGCATCTGGAGTGAAGACTAGCCAGAAGCATTGCAAGAGCTACCAATGCATCCCGAAAAAATTACTGTTTAGTGTGGATTATGGGCCGGTGACATCATCGGGCCGTACTTCTTCAAAGACGACAATGGCCGGAACGTAACTGTGAATGGCGCGCGCTACCGTGCGATGATAACAAACTTTTTTTTGCCCAAAATGGAAGAGCTGGACTTGGCTGACATGTGGTTTCAACAAGACGGTGTCACATGCCACACCGCGTACGAAACAATGGCCCTATTGAGAGGCGAGTTCGGTGAACAGTTTATCTCACGTTTGGGGCCCGTCAATTGGCCGCCTAGATCGTGTGATTTAACGCCGTTGGACTATTTCTTGTGGGGCCATGTTAAGGCTAATGTCTACAGGGATAAACCAGCAACGATTGACGCACTGGAAGCCAATATTGAAGCATTTATTCGTGAGATACCGGCCGATATGTTGGAGAGAGTGTGCCAAAATTGGACCTTTCGCATTTGCCATCTAAAGCGGAGCCGCGGCCAACATTTACATGAAATAATCTTTAAACATTAAATTATATCGACTCAAATAAAGAATTAATCGTTTTTTCAAATTTTTTGTTTTTTTTTATAAACAAATCCTATACCTCTTAAAAAATCACCGGTTATTAGATAGGTTTGTTGTAAATGCTTTATTTATAATAAATTAGTGGTTACAAGAATTCAACTCATCCGATCTTGCAATGATTTTATTGACATTCTTAGGTGGTTAAGAAGAATCGTTTCATATTTTTGAAGTGTGAGGAAGTAAGGAAATTTGTAGAAAGTATATACCTTTCATTCTTCCGTATATTCACCAACCTCAAATATCTTATTCCACATCCATGTTTGTTGTATAAATACAATAAACTGACACCGGATTATATAGTCCCATTCCATATAAAATGCGTAGGCGTGCCATCTGAAGATCGACCCAACAAACACGCGCCACGTCGACGCGCGTCATCTGAACTAAGCCTTACTCTTTGATATCTCCTATCTTTGGCCTGTCCTGACGAGATCTTTATTCCAATTTGTTTGACACAACAAAAAATGAGTATCTTCCAGACTTGGATCGATTACTGAAATCCAGTATCCGAATACAATTCCTGAATACTTTATTTTGAATAGTATTCGAATGCTCAAGATTCGAATACAAAGGACAAAGTATTCGAATTCCGCTGTTTTGAATACATGGATTCATTCAAATATTAATACTTTTTGAATACTCCAATTAAAAAAACATATGTGCGCTTTAAGCTTGATTTTTATTTATGTATTTAAGTTATTAAAAATATATAAAATATATAAGAACAATTAAAAGGACATGACTATATTCAACAAAATTTTGATATTTTTTCTTTTGACTTCACAAACTTTGTTTTTCGATGTGGACGCTATATTGGAATTTTATACATTGACTGGACTTTTCAGTCCTAGATTCAGTGATGCATTTCCTTTTTTGGCCATGAACTTGTTTTTGGATGAAAATTATACGAAAATAAAAAAGTATGATGGAACCTGAACACAAAATGAAAATTTTATTGATGGTAATAACAATAATAATCACAAATAAGCAAAGGTAAATCATAGCAGATGTTGTCAGTTATTTTGTAGGCAAAGCCTGACTCTTCTCTATACGTTGTTCATTACTCGATTTATTTTTCTTCTTCTCAGTCTTCCAAACTCTGTTGCAATATTCAATTTGAGGTCTGGTCTGGTACACGAAATAACTGAAACCTGATCAGTTCTATCCCGTTTAACTTCATTTCTCGCTTCTCGTTGCTCGTCAGTTTGACTTCTTCATTATATATCTTTGACTTACAGCATTGAGACCTAAGTTGGTATACGTCTAATTGGTGTCATTTTAAAGAATCACAATTTTAATATGAGGCGTGATTACGGTGAACTAACTCCCACCCTTGTTATTTATTTTTGAACAAATACTTCCCAAAAAAACTCACTGAACAAACTGAAAACTGGATAAAAGCTCTAATCGAATGGACTGTGCACTACTAATTGAATAACACAATATTTCTTCATCGATAAACACTGTTAAACGATAGTATTAATTTTCGGCGTGCGAGCTGTCAAGTTCAAAATGATGGAGTAGTGAAAGCCAATCAAGCAAAAGATACGTATTTTCATTGGCCTTTTTTATTCAAAGAGTAAACTGACAGATAACAATCAGGCAGCACTGCAGTTTCTTCTGAAAGGGCCATCACATAGTACGGATGTTAAAAAAATGTAAGTCCAAAAACGAAAGCACCGTGCTTTCATAAGCAATTTTCTCTCACATAGCTAACTGTCAATAGCTGTTGGAATAAAGATGGCGGAGAGGAGTGCCTGTCTCTTTTTATACTTGAGATATTTCTTCTGCTGTGCGTGCTCCATGCAAAGGTTTCCCAACTTTTTTCCGCAATTTTCTTGATTTTCTTTCTGTAAAAACCTTCTATACGGCATTAGGAAACTTAAAAAAAAAAGATGAATGAAATCGGTAAAGTTGTTCTCCAGTTATGGCGTGACCACGTCAAATAGGGATTGATTTATATATATACTGGGTGTCCCAGAAGTCGACGTCAAGCCGAAACCGGGTGATAGGCAAAGTCATAACAGCTATCAGAAAAATATTTAAAAAAATTTTATGTATGTGTTTTGAAAATTATAGGTCTTTGAAAAAATATAGAAATTTCACACCCTACGGCAGTCTGTCAACTCCTGTTACTACAAATATTAACTTTTTTTGGATTTTATTTTTACAATCTAATGATGAATAATGCATCTTCAAACTGGTGTCTCAACCTTACTGCCAACTTTTCTCGTTCAGGAAAAATTGCCACTTATTTCCCAAAGAAGTATTCCAAAGTAAAACTTTCCTCAACTTTAACTGGCTGTACTGGAAAAAATGTACTACGAGAGTTTGGCAAGTAACCTTAAAAGTTGGCGCATTTAATAAGGATTCCAAAATGGTATAATACTTGCACAATTTTTATTTGAAGAAAAACTGATGAAAATTTTTGAAAATTTCCTAATTAAACAGCCATTATGGTCGGATGAGCCCACATTTAAGAAAGATGGGTACATGAACCTGCATAACTTACACGAGTGGCACGTAGCAAACCCACATTTGATGAGAGAAGATAAATCTCAATATCGCTTCAAGATAACCCATTGGACAGGAATTTTAAATGGTAAAATAATCGGCCCGTTTGAGTTCCCAGAGACTTTGACTGCTGAAGTTTATTTGGATTTTTTGAAAAATCATGTACAAAATTTATTGGTGGACGTGCCACTGAGTATTTACAGGGACATGTGGTTTCAGCATGATGGCTGCCCAGCGCACTATGCACTCTCAGTGAGAGAGTATCTCGATCAAAACTTTTCCAGGTAGATGGATAGGGCGGTCTGGTACAATACCGTGGTCAGCCCGATCACCTGATTTGAATCCTTTAGATTTTTTTACTGGGGAACTGTAAAAGAAAAAGTGTATTTCAAGCCGATTCAAAATGTAGCTGAGCTACGGCAAAGACTATTGGACGCAGCTGAGTTTGTTAATAACCGCGGATTCGCTCGTTTAATAACCCAATCTTTTGTGTATTGTGTTGAGCGTGTATTGCGGCTGAAGGAAAACAGTTTGAGCATTTGCTGTAAAGGTAAATCATCATCAGCAGCATTTTGACGCCCACTGTTGTGCAAACAGTTATCCTTAAGGGTCCTTGTGCGTTTTCATAATCGCTGTTTAATTAGGAAATTTTCAAAAATTTTCATCAGTTTTTCTTCAAATAAAAATTGTGCATAAGTTAACGAGTAATCTTCTAAGTGTTATACCATTTTGGAATCCTTATTAAATGCGCCAACTTTTAAGGTTACTTGCCAAACTCTCGTAGTACATTTTTTCCAGTACAGCCAGTTAAAGTTGAGCAAAGTTTTACTTTGGAATACTTCTTTGGGAAATAAGTGGCAATTTTTCCTGAACGAGAAAAGTTGGCAGTAAGGTTGAGACACCAGTTTGAAGATGCATTATTCATCATTACATTGTAAAAATAAAATCCAAAAAAAGATAATATTTGTAGTAACAGGAGTTGACAGACTGCCGTAGGGTGTGAAATTTCTAAATCTTTTTCAAAGACCTATAATTTTCAAAAAACATACATAAAATTTTTTTAAATATTTTTCTGATGGCTGTTATGACTTTGCCTATCACCCGGTTTCGGCTTGACGTCGACTTCTGGGACACCCTGCATATTATAAATTTTTGAAATAAGAATTGCAAACTCAATTCATCTGCGTAAAAATTCAATATGGCGTCTATAAGAGAAAATAATGTTGATGCTGGAGGAAAAGAAACGAAACGTCATATTGGAATTCTAATTATGCCATCTTATAGAGGAGAAAAGTGGCAATGTTAATGTGCAATTTATTTAGTGAAATCCCATTACAATTAAAGTCAGGAAAACGTTAAAGCGATTTTAGGAAAATCCGGATTTTTCTTTCTCTCTCCGGAAGTACTTTGAATTTCAACACTTTCTTAGCGGCATTTTGTTGATTACCTAAATACCCAACTTTGCCCCCATTTAAACGACTTCGTATCACTTACAGTTTCCGAGATCCCAACGGTGAGGGTCGAATAGGAAACACCCTGTATGTCTGTATAGCTACAATTCAGATGGCTCTAGGTTTTGTATGGACTGCGTCTTCAATGTCCCTTACATAAAAAAAAGCCATGTATCAGCTCGTATTTTGAACAACTGAACTGGTTAAATGTAACAAAATTATTCAACTTTCAATTATTGTTTCGTGCACAAAGTTCTAGCCACATCATTTCTCCCGTTTTAAAAAGATAAGCTAATACTTCGTGGGTGTACCTATCCATTTAAGGAATATTGGTTGTGTGAATACGTTAACCAAAGAACAAGTTCCTAGTACAAGAAATTTAAAGACAACCATCACACCTCTTTTCTCTAAATTATAAACATGCAGGCGCTTTTAAAATTTAATTATGACGTCATAGGGTTTGAGTAATATTTAATACTACTATCTAGTAATGTACTATAATTTACACATTTTATTGTATTTATATATTTCTGACGTTAATATATTTATTTTTTGTTAAGGGTTAAGTGATAGAATAGCTATAAGCTAAAATTCGCAGTAAATTAGACGATTTATTATTATTATAAATGAAAACAAAAATGAAATTCATCCTTTACATAGCCAACAGATGGCGGAGCATACTAAAGTCTATAAGAACAGTCATTTTCACAGCTTCCGCAAAATTTTTCTGATGAAATTATCATAATACGTCCCAATATTTTGTAGACTTCCGAGCAGTAACTACAAGTTACGATTACCTTTCCCCACTGAACGAAGCTGGTAACTACACCGACAAATATTGGGCAGTCAAGGAACTTCTTCAGAAATACAACAAGATCAAAACTCTGTTGCCAGAACCGCCAGTACCTCAAGAGACGGAAAGTTACCCTGCAATCGGCATAGAACAGCAACTATCTCTAGGTGAACTGTTATCATCTCTACCAAATGTTACATCCAAGGCAGTGCTACCAATGGAAAAACTCGATGTGAATAACCATAACGGTCAAAGTTACGGTTACATAGTTTACAGGAAGACCAACGTAGATATACCAGCTAATGGTACCTTGCTTATAGAAGGAAGAGTTTTTGATACTGTCATGGTACTAGTCAATGGTGTTTTGGTTTCACCGTGGTTGGAGAAGACCAGCGATCTGAATAGGTGAGCTGGTTTTTCTATTACAATTTCCAATTTTTTTTTACCTAAACAGCTTAGAATTCAAAGGTTAGACGCAGTGGTACAGCAGCTGACATAAAGGGATTTTCTGATACTTGCATATTTCACTCTGAACCTATTATATTTCTTATATCATTCTCTGGATTTTCGTAAATCTTTAAAAAGTTTGTAGCATCTGAAACTGCTTCTGTATGATATATTGAGTTCTCATGTGTCTCACAACAACCGGTTTTGCCATACAATTTCAAAAATTTCTTTAGTGGTACGGTAACAAGTTTTCCCAATTTAGTCGATTTATGTACTACCTACTCCTAATTTTGCAAAAATCACGCAATATTTACAGAAAAGCCCTTGTAGTTCCTCTGAATATGACAGCCAAGGAAATTTCTCAAAGTGTTTTTTTGATAAGTAACATTTCACTACTATATTATTTTTCAAGTGTGTGGAATAGGGATATTTGAAAGAGTCATTAGGGATCATTGCACACCTCAATAAGGTATATTTTTCATGGGAAGACAAGTTGCCGCTGAAATTGACATATGGCGCAACATCAACAAAATTGGATCCTTTAACACTGTAGTGCTTATATACAGTGACTTCCCAGACAAAATAGACATATATTATAATGATAACTGGAGTGTGGACCAAACACTTCGTAATTGAAATTATATTAAATTTCCATTTTTCCGTCATTTTTTTAGACACGATTCTTTTACAGTATAACAATTGAAAACAAACAAAAATTAATTTTCTGGCTTCTGCGTGGAAACTAAAAAATCAATAGAACATAGAAAATAGCGTTAATACCAACCAGATCAACAAAACTCAGCTTGTTCACTTCTCAGCCAAATTTTGTTGCGGACTCCGATATGGTACAGAATTTAGACACTAGACTATACCATAAGAGACTAGACTATACCTGTTCCAACAGGAAGAAGCGCACAGCGTTGCTGTTGGTGGGAGAGTAGTCGCTAGTCGCATGCTCACTGAGCGGGTTGGCAGTGTTGCCGCTATCCTTTCTTAAAGTTACAGATTCTTTTTATAAGACGTTTACTTACCACCTTTCCAAAACTGCTCGAGGCGTCTGGAGGGGGGGGGGGGGGTAATTACCCCCTTTACCCCCCGTGGGGGCGCCAGTGCGCGGCAGACCTGTTATCTTGGAGAATATATTGCTTCGTAGTGCTCAAACTTATTGACATAACACTTTGCAATGACACTTATAATAAATTATATTTTATTACTTATTATTACTTATTATTACTCTGACCTGAGCTGCTTTCCAGTGAGCCAGTTGAGTTACTCAGAGTAAATCAGTAGTATTGAGCACCAAGACCGTACCACTGCATATTATATTCCCATGCATTGTTTCTAGAACAGTTATGGAGGATATCACTCTCAAACCAAAAACCACCGGAAAGCAGCTCTTGTTTGCACGCTTCTTGCTGAGCCAATAAAAGTTATTTTTCCCTTTGCAGATTCGGTTCATATCTAAGGGACTCCTCGGTCATTTTATCTTCAACAGCGTTAGAAAAAGCCACCATTGATATCGTAGTAGAAAACTGGGGAAGAGTGAACAACGGCATCTACAAACAGTACAAAGGGCTCTGGCAGGGTGGCGTCAAACTAAATGATGCTTACCTTTACGACTGGACCATATTTCCACTTGAATTCCAGAAAAAATGGACGAACAGCTTGAACAACTGGCAGACTTTCGATGATAAAACAGTTGGTCCTTGCTTGTTTAAAGCAAACCTTCAGATAGCTGGCACACCAAAGGATACGTTTGTTTATATGGAGAACTGGAAAAAAGGTATTGTTATTGTGAATGGATTTGTTTTAGGAAGATACGCTCGACTGGGTCCAACACAAACCGTGTTTCTCCCTGCAACCCTTCTCAAGCAAGGTTCCAATACTATTTATATCTTTGAGCATTTCAGACATGCATTGCAAGTAGAATTCTCGAAAACGATAGTGAACACGTTGCATTATCAATAAAGATATTTTAGAAAATGCTGCGTTTTATTTTCACAGGTCCATAAAGATGTACGGACTTCAAACATATACAACGAATTCAGACTAGCTAGAAGGAGCCACTCAAGAATTCCTTTGTCTTATAATTACCTTAGTCTGTGGTGCACTTGACATAAGTAAAGACATACACAACTGCCAACCTCACCTTCTCGGTGGTGTACCCCGACATTATTATACAGGGTACAATGATATGCGAATATTTTTTAGGGGTGTGAATCTACATGAAAAATTAATGTTAGTTTGCTCTATAAACTATGGTCCAAAAATGTTTCCTTACAAAAACTCGGGGTGTTGAAGTTTTAGGAAAAAAATGGTAATTAATTATTATTTTCAGAACCGCTTCAGATATTTTACTGATATTTAGTACGTAGTGAAAGTTAATAGAGTTGCATATTCTTCAATGCAAAAATAATTTTTAGCTTTATCAGTGGCGTGCGTACGGGTATTGACATCGATATTTTTTATGGAAAATAAAAATTATTTTTGAATTCCCTGTCCAATTTAAAACAAATGATCTCGCTTGAATTGTTTTCCTTCGGTGCGCCATTTTTGAATAAAAAAATAAAAACCGTTCTATTGTCTAACTTGCAAAATTATTACTAATTTAATTAGAAAAATTAAACACATTAGGGGTAATGAACATCAACAACTGACAACAAAATCATAACATTAAAACCAACGAAGCGATTACAAAAATTGAAAATGGCCCCCTTCACTTAGTATGCATGATTCCGCCCTCTTTCTCATGGAATTGCGCACTCGTTGAAATATCCCTGGAGTGATTTTATTCACAAGCTGCAAGTATTCTTTCTCCTAATTCCTCTACAGTGTTAATGGGACTTGTGTACACTAGTGTCTTAAGATAGCCCCACAAAAAGAAATCTAAACTGTTGAGGTCTGGGGACCTTGGTGGCCATTCTTGGGGTCCACCGCGGCCAATCCAACGATTTGGATAAACAGTTGTTTTTTATTCTATCACAAGCTGCTTCTTTCTCTTAATTACTCTACAGTGTTAATGAGACTTGTGCACACTAGTATCTCAAGATAGGCCCACAAAAAGAAATCTAAACTGTTGAGCTCTGGGGTGGCCATTCTTGGAGTCCATCGCGGCCAGTTGAATGATTTGGATAAACAGTTTGTAAATACTCGTAATTACGAACCGCTACACTGAAATGCGCTGGTGCACTATCATGCATGTACCACATATTGTTTCTTATTACCAACTGTACACCATCAAGCAGCAAAGGCAACTGTTGTTGAAGAAGATTGAGGTAAGTCTGTCCGTCAAGTCGTCCCGGCAAGAAGAATGGGCCAATAAAGTGGTTGCCAATAATTCCTGCCTATACGTTAACCGAAAATTGGTATTGGAAATGGGTTTCGGTTACAGCATAGGGATTTTCTTCTGCCCACAAATGATTATTGTGGAAATTCTAAATGGCATTTCGAGAAAAATTAGCTTCGTCCGTGAACAAGATCATTGGTTCAAATTGCGGATTTTGGGTAATTTTTGAAGATACCACTGACAAAAGGTCACACGCCTTGGAAAATCAATGGGCAGTAATGCCTGTACTCTTAAAATATGGTAAGGATATAACTAAAAATCCACTAAAATTCTCCAAACAATTTGATGGCAAATATTTAAGTGTCTAGCGATCCTTCTCGTACTCGTTTCAGGATGTTCTTCGACTTCTTGCAGCACTGCTTCCTCAATTTCAGGTGTTCCCACACTTAGAGGTCTACCTTCAGATGTTCCTTTTCAGACAGAACCAGTTTCAACAAGACGACGATGAATATTAGAAAAGGTTCGACTATCTGACAAAGCACGATCGGGATATCTCTGGTGATAAATCCGTCTGGCTTGCTCACCATTACCGCCGGCAAGGCCATATACGTAATGCATTTCCGCATTTGAATAATTCACCATTATTAACAAGATTGTAAAAATTAAATAATGAAAAAGATGTCACAGCGAACAGATTTGAATAACAGAGACTTGTCAGATGTCAAAAGCCAGTGACATATTCCAGAGCAACTTGATATTTATTGCTAATTGCATTCTTCAATTATTACATTAATTTTCTCGGACCATAGAACGGTTTTTATTTTTTTACTCAAAAATGGCGCTTCGAAGGAAAATAATTTGGAAGAGACCATTTGTTTTAAATTGAACGGGGAGTGAAAAATAATTTTTATTTGGCAAAAAACCATTGGAGAACCATTGTACCATTTTTTCTTAAGAAATATCGAAGTGAATACCTGTACGCACGCCACTCTTATAGCTAAAAATTATTTTTGTATTGAAAAATATGCAACTTTATTAACTTTCACTACGTACTAAATATAAGTGAAATATCTGAAGCGGTTCTGAAAATATTAATTAACTTCCATTTTTTTGGACCATAGTTTATGATGCAAACCAACATTAATTTTTCATGTAGATTCACACGCTTAAATATTCGCATATCATTAAGGAACACCCTGTATAACTGACGAGGAAATGGCAACCGATGACTACCGGTATAAGTAGTCAGAGTCTCTCCGGGATGATTGACCAAAATGGCGGGAATCATCCTGCAAGAGGATTTAGACAGCATGTGTTCGAAGGTGGGTGGCTAACAAGGGGTAGACCGGGCTCCTTGAGCCGTGGCAAAGGCAGTCGGTCTAGGGACCTGACCCTAACAGGACAGCATGACCCCAACGGGCCACTTTAGGTCAATTCAACATCATTAAAAGAAGGTATAAGACAAGGACCAGTCGACCGAGGCGGTACCATCCGCTAGCTTTTCCCAGAGTGTCTTATAAATGTTCCCGCACCTAAGCTACGCAGTCGGTTATGTTCCTCAACAAAGAAATTAATGATGATGGATCCCTCGAGTACTAAGAATTCCGAACGTAACTTCGTTCCACTCTCGGAATGTCCAGATGGAGGGTAAACTTGAGGAACAGCATCGATGATAAAATTTGTTCAATGAACATCTGCGGGATTAACAGCAACCATGATGATGTTCAACACTACGAGCAATCTAATCAACCCGCCATCCTTTTCCTGGCGGACAGTCTGCACCGATTAGACATCTTAGCTTCCCAAATTACGAGGTGCACTCCAATCCGAGAAAGAACGGGGGAGTTGTGGCCTTTGTCCACAGCAGTCTTACCTGCTCCAGAGACTCTTCTTTGGTGTCAGATCGGAAAAACATTATGTGGCTTCGCCTCAACTTCAAAACATCCCCCAAATGTATTTGCTGCCTTTATTGCTCTCCCTCGGCCAACACTGGGATGACTTACTTGAATACCTCGCCGTCAAGATCGACTTCCTGAACATCAGTCATCCCGCTTCAGGTAGTTCTCCTAGGTGATTTCAATGCCCATAATGAGCTTTGACTGGGCTCAAACAAGACCGGTGCAGCAGCCCGTGCAGTTTAAGCGTTCGCTCTTAGTAAGGGGCTGACCCAGCTGGTGACGAGCCCTATTTTCCCCCCGCGTCTCGTCACATGCCAGTAGCCTGCAGGATCTCTTTGTGACCACGCATCCTGTCCTTCACAGCACTGTTGTCCTGTCCCCCTGGGTAACTCAGACCACGGTGTTGTCGAGCTTCGGTTTCGGTCAGAACCCGCTGTTGTAGCAGAAACTCGTACAGGTCACAAAACTTGGCATTACGGACATGCCGACTGGTAGGGGCTCAGAGACTTCTTCTCGACCTTTCCTTGGAGACATTTTTGTTTCGCTGATGCGGATGCGTCGGCTGTCTGTTCTTTGATGACCGAAATTATCCACGTCGGGGTTGGAAGAATACATCCCTCATACAGTGAAAGTGCCTAAACCAGGGTTCAACGGCTGGCTCAACAAATCGTGTGAAACTGCTCGCCAGCAGAAGATCAAGCCACACAGAACCTTCTTACAAAACCCCATTGTAGAGCCGACATCGAGTCCAGAAACAAGTATAACTAAGCGGTTCGCAATGCCAAAGACCAGCACGATATTAAAGTTTGGCACAGGGTAATGTCACAGCGCAATTGCAGTCGGTCTTTTTAGATGCTGCCCAAGCAGATTAAAAGAAACTTCTAGCACAATAGCCTTCCACCACTTACGTTACAGGGTGGGAGAAATTGCGGGAAGAAACATTCAGGCATACGACCGTCTTGTCGATCGACATCAACAAATCTTCTGGTCCGGACCTGATTCCTGCCATTGTACTGAAGAGGTGTGCAGTGGAGCTTGCTCCAGTTCTTTTACGTCTCTTCCAGATAGCTTATGAATCCGGCACCTTCCCAGAAAACTATAAATTTGCTCATGTCCAGCCCATTTCCAAAAAAGGATCTAAGATCGACCCTTACAACTACAGGCCTATAGGTCTGCCTTCTGTAATAAGTAACATTTTTTTATTTTTTTTTATTTATTTACACCACCAACAGATAAACCAATTATTGGTGGGAGAACAGAAGTTAACATAGTACAAACCCGAAGTAATTAATATGCATAAGAAATATAACAGTCACAAAACTACACAATTATATAACAGATTTGAAAACGATCTTAATAGAGGTCACATTTGTATTAAATATATCAATTCTGTTTTGTAGATTGTTTAAACAGGTACACATGGAATATAGCGGAGAATGCAGCAGTAAGTTGGTCCTGCGGGTTGGTAAATAAAACGTTAGGATGTTTCTGGTGAGACATCTTGGTATATTAAACGACAGGCGACTTAGAATATCCGGACAATCATATTGGTTGTGAATAACCTTGAATAAGAATACATGATAGAGAGGTGCATAAATCGCGAGCTTCTGGACTACCTCGAATGTCACGGCTTGATTAGCGACACACAGTATGGTTTCCGGCACCGGCGATCCACACGGGACCTCTTAGCTTACGTCACGCAATTGTGGAGTAAACTCATCCAGTCTTACGGTGAGGCTCATGTTGCTCTTGATATCACGAAACTGTTCGATCAGCTGTGACACGCTGCCCTCTTATGC